CGTACCGCAATTCTATATACTACTGCTTGCATTGTTTTACTCCTTTCATTCGTTGAAATGTGGTAATCCCAAACTCTATTTTCAAGTGTCACGTGATTCGTTCTTCTTACTAACTACAATAGGTTATTTCAAAGTACACTTGCGCATACAAAGACTCGCATCATTTCCAACTGGGTTGCCCGCCGTGATGTTGCTGGAATATTGCTAAAAGCGGCGTAAAACCAAACTCAGTCAGTCAGTCCAACTGGGTTGGCAAGATCCGGGAACCGCCACACTGGACAAAGTATACAAGGAATTAAGAAAGCAAGGTGCAATGTATTTCACATCCTGTAAGTATATAACAATGGCATATAATAATCTGTTTCCTGCAAGCTGTTTTTCTAAAATGAACAAAATGTGAATTTACGACATTTATAAACTTGTGTGCTTCCTATACAGTGATTATTTAAAATAATGTATTTCACATCCTGTAAGTATATAACAATGGCATATAATAATCTGTTTCCTGCAAGCTGTTTTTCTAAAATGATCAAAATGTGAATTTACGACATTTATAAACTTCCGTGCTTCCTATACAGATAATATTTCAAATGACAAAAATTCACAATGAAAACAATTTCTTAGGGCTTTGTTGCCACATCATGATTGTCTAGTTGTGATTATAGACTCTAGTTTTGAACGACTTTAACACAGATTGTGGGATCAGCCCTCACCACGTGGAGATTGCTCGTGTGCCACTAGCGATTGTATGCATTATGAGGCATTTATCTAAAATGAACGGATATATGAGGTTGGTTGGTTTGTTGTTCAAATATTCAGCAATATTCAGCGGTCTGTAAAGAATCGCGTTTGGCCCAGACAATCCAGTAATCAACAGCATGAGCATCGATCTACCCATATTTGATACGATATGTGTCAACCAAGTCAGCAAGTCTGATCACCCGATGCCGTTAGTCGCCTCTTACAATAAGCATGGGTTACTGAAGACCAATTCTAACCCGGATCTTCAATTTTATTTAAAAAACAATGATTAAACGAGAACCAATTTTATTAAATGGTCCTTTATAGAAGATGATTAGAAACATTGATCCCTTGTGATGGAAAAATCATTACAGTCAAGCACAACATTGCACTGAATTAACAATTATGGTGAAAGTACGAGGATGCTTGCACTTCTACTACCAATATAAGGTTTGAACAGTAAATCCAGATAAAGTTGACTAGTCACGCAACATTCCACGGATGCATTGTGGGACTGTGGACATAGACCCAGTCAGCGAACAGTGCCGTGTGGTGGTTTAATTGTGATTCGAGCTGAGACATTTATCCGTTGAAAAAAGTTGATGTTAGCCGAGTGAAGTACTACAAACCAGGAACCGGGGTGCTACAGAGTAGTTTACTGCAGGAGACTTTACATCGAGTCGTCGGTTGCCAAGGGTACGTTGATTACGTGGGGGCAGACAAAGATGGCGTAGTGACGTCAATACAGTGTGACGTATTGCAAAATGTGTACTTCAAGTGTACGAGAAAGTCCGAAAACAAATGGACATAATTGTTCCAAGCTGTGGTCAGAAAAAGCAAGGGTATCTTATGCTGCAGGTTGTCATAATGCTGTTTTGGTCACACATGGAGGGATGATGTAAATCCAACTAGGGTCCATGCAGGTAGCAAAAGTACTGTAAGTCACCATGGTCGCTGGTATGGTGATCTACCTATAGTTGTTGGCGATCTATAGCCTGTTTTTATGCTGTATCGTCCTCTGTAGTTAAAGTATTTAGATTTCATTACTAGTTTTAACTATATATATCTGTGATAGTCTAGTTAGTTTTACTGTCCTTTGTCGACAGATTTTTAAATTGATTACCTTGTTTTCATCGCTATATGGCTGTAATATTGCCGATGCGATGTAAACTTTTATCTCACTCACCCATTGGTCACAAATGGACATCATTGTTCCAAGCTGTGGTCAGAAAAGGCAAGGATATCTTATGCTGCAGGTTATCATATAATGTTGTTTTTGTCACACATGGACATCACTGTTCCAAGCTGTGGTCAGAAAAAGCAAGGGTATGTTATGCTGCAGGTTATCATATACAATGTAATGTTGTTTTTGTCACACATGGACATCATTGTTCCAAGCTGTGGTCAGAAAAAGCAAGGGTATCTTATGCTGCAGGTTATCATATACAATGTAATTGTTCAAGCTTTGGTCAGCAAGGGTAATGGACATCATTGTTCCATATGTGGTCAAGCTGTGGAAAAAGCAAGGGTATCTTATGCTGCAGGTTTATCATATACAATGTAATGTTGTTTTGTCACACATGGACATCATTGTTCCATGGTGTGGTCAGAAAAAGGAAGGGTATCTTATGCTGCAGGTTATCATATAATGTTGTTTTTGTCACACATGGACATCATTGTTCCAAGCTGTGGTCAGAAAAAGCAAGGGTATGTTATGCTGCAGGTTATCATATACAATGTAATGTTGTTTTTGTCACACATGGACATCATTGTTCCAAGCTGTGGTCAGAAAAAGCAAGGGTATCTTATGCTGCAGGTTATCATATACAATGTAATGTTGTTTTTGTCACACATGGACATCATTGTTCCATGGTGTGGTCAGAAAAAGCAAGGGTATCTTATGCTGCAGGTTATCATATACAATGTAATGTTGTTTTTGTCACACATGGACATAATTGTTCCAAGCTGTGGTCAGAAAAAGGAAGGGTATCTTATACTGCAGGTTGTCATGAAGTTGGTTTCCTCACATATGGGCATAATTTGTCCATGTTGTAACAAAGACCATCATGAACTGGAAATTTGATGTACATAGAATAGAACATCTTGCTGTGGTACAAGAAGTATTATGTCATGCTCATGTGTTTGTTATCTTGGATAGTTACTTCAATAAATTTACTGAGTTTTGGACCCAAAATACATAATGACTGATGTCCCGAGTGTAGAGAAAAAAGGTCTCTTGGGATAATTCAAGCAATCTTGATCATTGGTAACAACCTAGCAATTAGCTTAAGTAAATATTTGGAAAAGGTCGCATGACTTGTGAACCATGTTACCAAGAATATACATCTATGTGATCTCAACTTTTTGCTTCAACGCCTTTTGTTACTAGCTGGAAGATGGTAAATAATTAAACATTTGGATACACAATTATCTTTGCCTTTTCTAATTATGTCAACTTTTCTCCTTAAGAGTTTTGAGTGTCACTTTAGAAGTTGTGACGGGAAACTCAATATAGTTTATTGATGACAACTTCAGTGTTCTGCTGTGTTACCAAGCTTACCGAAACGTGGCAAAATATTAGAAAGAACTTGCCATCCATACACTATACAACCTTTACCTATTCTTCAGGACTGATGTCTGTTATGTACGAGTGTTTATGAAAGGAGAATGAGCAACGTGTGTCCGATATTCTCTTTGTGAGTTTCTAATGAACTGTTACAGAAAATCAATTATAAAAAACTAACCAAAACAAGCATCACGTAGAAAGTAGTTTTGATTTTGTAACTCGGTGAAAACAAACCTAAATACCATTTATCCTCAGACTGGCGGATGTTCCCGACAGGGCGCCGCCATGTTTAAAAATAAAAAAAATCTGTTAGAATTAATGAGATTATAGTTGTTTTTTTCATCAAGTTAGATAATCAAGACTACTTTCTACTCGTAGTTAAATATGTATTGGAATCATAACCAAACGGATTTTGCATGACACAACTTATAACATAACGATTTCTTCCACGGAAGCGAGGTGGGGGTCGAAGTCACAATACTGCGCGATAAATTTCTTGCTACATTCCCATGGTTAATGTCCACTCACCAGTATGTAGATACTAGTCAATGTGCGTCTTTATATTTGGTCTTATAATCCTAATTAGTTTATTATCATACTTGTATGCATTTTGAAACTAAATAAAAAGCAGACGATCTGCTGATACTTATAGTGAATTTATAACAGAACTGTAATATCTAGACATTTTATAGTTTGCCAATGTGAATCATAATTCGCACACACCCTAGTGCATGTTGTCTGACTCATTACACTTCACGGCGAAAACAATGATTCTGTTGAATGCTACGACAAATGAATAAAATCAAAATGCAAATATTAAAATTAAAACAGATTAAAGTTATAGGAACAATATCAGGCCATTACCTTGTTCGAGGAATGTATCCATCAATATCCACAAACTGTTCCAAACGATGTGTCTTTTTAACAGTTTAATATACGAAAAAGTGATAAATCTTTTCAGGTATTGGTGTATAGTCTCATTGGTCACCCAAGATAGCACACCTGGCAACTAATTGCATAATGTCCGCCTTTCTTTAAAAACAGTAATTTAGTTAGCCAATAATGGGCAATCAATCAATGTATTGCCGGTTAATCCTTTGAACGAAGGACGTTGTTTTTACGCAGACACCGACACGACAGAGTGTATTCAGTATAGATTAGTAAATCTACATACATAAACACTACCTTTTGACAATTCCGCTGTGTGAGATAAAAGTAATTAATCAATCAGCGTGTTATCGGTTAATCCTTTGATCGATGTTTATAATGTTGAATATTTACTCCAGACACAAGAAATGCCAAATGGGAACCTTTGTCGGGTAATCTAAGTGTGTTACCACTAATTATACCTGTTATAAATTCATTAACTGACCATCAAGTGAATGATGACAAATAACATGTGTAGGTTTATACCACCTAACACGGGTTACAACAAGGGAGTATTAATTGCTGTATTGGATGTGAAAACTTATGGGCCGACACTGTTTTGAGAATACAAACAGATTTTAACATGACATGATTAAATATCGAGGTAAAAAAACACAGAAATGGGATCGATTTGGATCAGTCATTATACAAATAGGGCCTAACGACACCAATCGATTTTGACAGAATCGTCTATGAAAACAAGTTGTAACTCGGAAACTAGGCAAAGCAGGAGACAAAATTAAATGACAGTAGATTGTGAGAACATATAAAAGTGAAGAAATCTGTATGAAAGGTTTATCTTTAGTGGAATGCGAAATAATGATAAGGTGTTTTCAGGAGGGACAAAAAACGGAACATCAGTATATGAACCGAACAAAACTTAAGTTCTCGTTATCTGATTCAACTACAACGAACGTAAAATATCCTTTGCCGTTGTACATGAACTTGTATCATTAATAGCTCACTCTCCAGGGTGCGTACCCACTAAACAACAATTGTCGGGGGATTCTGCACAATTCCGAATAATTTCCTTAAGGCAACATTTCAACTGTGGATTGTGTTCAAATTCAAAATCTCTGTAACAGCGTGACTCTCTGCATAATATTTTATTGTTAGGTGTGTATTCAGGAGAAATATCATTTCTTCATCTTTTCCTGGCACTCACAGGCCGCTCAACAGTGCAACTATTTCTGGACCATCCATATACGTAACCAACAGTTGTCACGCCTCTAACTCACATTTATTCTGAATAAATACAAAAGCAAAGCTAAAAAGATCAAGCAGTAAACTCGACGACATTTAGATGATAAGGTCACCCAGTTCTTACGTCCTCCTGGGGTTAAAAAAGAACCGTTGGTCTTCGTAAAGTTACAGAAGAAATAAAGAAGCAAACTGTTGTCTCCCCCTACCACTCCTCATCAGGTCTATATCTACATTCGCTTGAAAATACTTGCCGGACCGTCGTCACCCTCTATGTTATGAAACAACGAGCAAGTCTCGCCAACAAAACCGATTGCTGCACAGAAGACGTCAATCCGGCAAATGTGCATACAGTCAAGGAAGATGGTTGAGCTGAGCGTCTCCAGGTGACCCAGCGTGAGCCCGGATGATGACATGCGCACAAAGGTCTGGTCGTACCCACATTCGCCATAAACGCGGTTCGTGATGTTTTGTTTCAGAAAGGCAGCAGCGACTGAAAGTAAAAATGTTTGCACAAACATGTCATTTATAAATACATGTATTTATAAGATTATATGGACAGTTATTTTACAATTTTTCGAAACTCATATCACAAATATTATGCCATGTTGAATCGGTGGGTCTAAATAGTAAATATACACTCAAGCATAACTCATGAGTGACTATGAGCTTACTGGTCCAAGTGGCGTTGAATCCCCGTTTCGTGAAGCTACTATCGCTGGTGAATTGCAGGCGGTAATAGTTGGAAGGCTGCATGACGTACCCAGATTTCCCACCACCCAGAAAGGCAAGCAGGCTTCCATAGGCATCGTATACCTACAAACATGTACACCGTATGTGTGGTAGTCTGAACATACTGACGGAAACAAATAAAGGAACACTGGAAAATTCAAGCTTACCAGTTTTCATCACCCGCTTTCAATAGCGCTGTTGGAGGAAATCTGAGAATAAATAAACGAACACCGCCATGAAATGGTGTTCCCTAATTTATTTCCCTCAGTATATATTCGACAATGAGATCACATTATTATCAACTAAAAGAATATTGATCATAAAGACGAAATCGTGAACTATGTAGTTTGGTGTGCTAATCAGTCTTCTTGACATGTTGCGGTATACAATGTCAACATTGGGAAGCTTTAATTAAAGGGAAGCCTTTTACCTCGGCACTTAAAATTATGGTACTAATTTCTCTCAAAATGCCTTCTCTCGCAATAAAAACACCATCTCCTCAGAAAACGATGGACCAATGAAGCTGAAACATCCAATGATGAAACCTGATGGTTCGAGGGGTTCGAATCGACCGCCATACAGCCATACTCAAAATATCATTTCTACGAAAAAACACCCACACGGCAAGTAAAATCTACACAGCAGTTTGGGAAATTTAGGACACGCTTAATCTCAAATGCTTGACATTGTGAAGATTTAGTGAAAGGGAAGTGGGTATTCGAGTGTGGTCGGGGATCTACTAGAACAGTACAGTTATCCAGTATTGTAATCAACAGTGTGTAGGATTATACAAGAGGGACAAGCTTATGCCTCTCTCATCTTAAATTTGGGGATATGTTAATTAAAAACAAATTGAAAATTACGTATATGTTTTATGAGAAAATTATTACCTGTAAAGAAAAGTATTCCATTGTATATGCTTTACGGTGAAATAGGTAGCGTCCAACTTTCTGTTGGTGTTAAAACTCGGGTCTAAATTATGTACAAACAATTCATCTAAGTTTCCTTTAATCTTTTGTTCTAGACATTATGGTCCTTACTTCTGATATTTCATTCTCTACCGCCATTCCGATGCCACTGCTACTGAATTTGTACCTTCCCTCTATTTTTTTCTGCCGTTGTAAGTTCTACATTAAATAATTCATTCAAAATATAATTGTATCAAGCTCCGCCCTTAGGCAAATCACGAACCGTGTGTGTGTGTGTGTGTGTGTGTGTGTGTGTGTGTGTGTGTGTGTGTGCGTGCGTGCTTGTGTGTGTAAGAGAGAGAGTGATACATATTCGTAATTCAAGTCATATGTGCGTGGTAAGTGCCTCCCGCAGCAGAGAATGTGTATTGTATTTAACTCTATCTTCTAATCGCCAACGATTTGTTGCTTTAGAATGTAGTTTGTCATTGATTGTACTTGCGCATATTCCCTCCGAGTAAAAGTAGCAGTTTTGAGATATAGTAATATGAACTTAATCAAGGCTAATCAGCTCACCGATACCAGCCATCTCATAAATGTTATTTATTTATTCCACTAAACATTTGTGTAGTTTTTACTATGTTCGAGATTTCTATCTTTGCTACCAATACCCTCTCTTCTAAGTTCACATATCCGCTTATATTTATGGACACTGGACCTTGATGTTAGTTACTTGATCTACGCTTACCCTGAGCTCTATTATTCAGGTGACGTTTATCTATAATGGGTGCTGCATTCCTGTTTTGCATTTATATTGATTCGATAGAGTTTGGGTACATACCTCGACTGCGTCAAAGTTTTTCTCAACCTGAAAGTCCACAAACACAAGGCGGATCAACGTAGTTCCAGCGTCGATGATGTAGGTGCAGTTTTGGTCGTTCTGGTATTTATCTGGGTAAAGAGGGGAGGTAACTGTACCATATGTTCCGGTTCTGTTCTCGCCACATTCCTCCTAGGAAAAGCACAACTATAGAAATAAAGCTCATGATTGAAGCATGTATAGGTATATGGTGCCGTGGCCAAGTCGTCTAAGGAGTTGTGTTCCTTGACGAACGTCGGAAACATATGATTGTCAGTTCGAATTCCGTTTCGACCCAATTATGCTTCTGGTATTTTCATCACCATAACCGTGCTCAGGGGGTTCACCAAACCAAAGAGTTATACTTTCTTCCTACATAAAGTACCCGTGAAGATCCGTGTTAGAATTGGTCTTCAATAACCCATGCTTGTCGTAAGAGGCGACTAACGGGATCGGGTGGTCAGACTCTCTGACTGGGTTGACACGTGTCACATATCGCAATTGCGTAGATCGATGTTCATGCTGTTGATCTCTTGATTGTCTGGTCCAGACTCGATTATTTACAGATCGCCGCCATATAGCTGGGATATTGCTGAGCGCGGCGTAAAACTAAACTCACTCACTCACTCACTCCTACATAAAGGTGTCCTTTGTTTGATTTGAGTCATTACATTCACCACAGACTCGAAAGTAAATAAGGTTAAGAGGTATAGTACGATTCGGAAAAGAACACGACTACGTGTATCGGTCTACCCTGACTGCAATACCTGAACTGTTTGACTGCTCATATGCTATGAAAAATAGATTATAGTAAAATTAGCATCTGTTGTGAAAATATCTAGCATGACAGTCTTTGAAGATCCGGGCTATAATTGATCTTCAGCGGAAGGTCAGGCTCGCTGACTTGGTTGACATATGTCATGTATCACAATTGCGTTGATCGATGCTCATGATGTTGATCACTGGATTGTCTGGTGAGGTATTTACAGACTGCCGCCATATAGCTGGAATATTGCTTAGTGCGGCGTAAAACTAAACTCACTCACTCATTCACTTATTATAGCAATATCAAGACATGTGTATATCTGCAATATCCTTGACCACCCCAGCTTTATGACTGACTGATTATATTGTATTTTGTGTTCTTCTGCTCTTTGTGGTAATGAAGGAAATAAAGTATATCTCAGCTGGTACCAATATCTTAGCTATCAGCGCAAAAACAATGGTATGACCCGAAAGATATCACACAATTATATTGGAGGAAACAATAGTATGACCGGAATATATTTGCAAAAGAACAATAGCTTGGCCGGGAAGACGACACTGTATTATATTGGGGCGAATGCATCTGTATACCCGAAAAGATATCACAGTATTATACTGAGTCAAAAATCAATAACATGACCCAAAGGATATCAGTATTCTACTGCGTCAAATAACCTAGTATGACCCTAGTATACTGCTTCAAAAATAATAGTATAACCCAAAAGATGTCACACTATTATTTTGCGTCAAAAACAATAGTTTGGCCCAAAAGATATCCCACTATTATATTGGATAACAAACAATAGCATGTCCGTGAAGATATCACACTATTATATTGGGTCACAAACAATAGCATGTCCGTGAAGATATCACACTGTATTATATTGGGCCACAAACAATAGCATGTCCGAGAAGATATCCCACTCTTATATTGGGTCACAAACAATAGCATGTCCGTGAAGATATGATACTATTATGTTAGGTCACAAACAACGGTATCCCCCAAAAGATATCACAGTATTATATTGTTGCAAAAACAACAGTATAGCCAGGAAGATATCTCATAGTTTTATATTGGGACAAAAGCAATAGAACGGCATCAAGGTTGAAATAGTAAAGGCTGTATGCCACATGGCTATTTTTAATTCAAATTAAAACATTGAGACTGTGCATAACAGATGCTTCCAAAATGGCCTCCAAAATGTTAAACCATGTGTAACATATTCCTGTTATAATTCATATGAAAGCTTATAAAAAGCAAATCCATAAAAGTGAAAGTATTCCTGATCCCTGGCCACAATTAGCCATAAGGATTTGTATCAAGTTACTGGAGTGTTTATACTTACCTGACACATGATGTGTAGCATGGGGAACAGGAGAACTATACACGTCTCGGATAGCTGTAGAGTGAATTTCATGTTCTCCTTCTAGACCGGAGCCATAAACAGATACATCTGTACAACCCAAAGTAGTCAAACAAATACCCGATAATCAGTCTGTCTGTAAGTGGAAATCCATAAACTCCATGCTTGAGTTTATGTTTTGTTTCCATATAAGGGCTGTATGCATCAGCTCGTCCACACAATCGTCTATGGATTAAACAAGGCATGCCGACATTGATTCCAGTGTTTGTGTACATTTCAAGGCAGTTGCTTACTTACTGCTTTTATTGCCTGTATGTGAACTTACAGACAGACCAAGTTTAGTTTACGCCACTTTTAGCAATATTCCAGCAATATGGGCACCAGAAATGGGCTTCACACAGAGTACCCATGTGGGAATCGAACCCGGGTCCTCGGCGAACTCTTTAACCCCTAGGCTGCCACACCACCCACCCACATATAAGTTGGCGGGGGTTCCAGGGTTGTGGATGGAGACAACGCAATAGTGAAGACTATGAAAATTGAATAATGTTTTAAACGATAAACATCGTTTATGTATTTTTCATCCATGTATTTTTACAACAGTCCGAATCAATATTTTTTCGAACATTTTCTGGGACAATGTAAAAATGCAGTTATCTACAGTGATGCACTGCGCTATTCTTTCACAGCTGGAATATGCCACTATTGCATGTCTTCCGAGCTGGACTCTCCATGCTTTGCGGGCGAGAAGAAGCAAGCCAATACTACCACATGCCTTCGGGGCCAGATTAGGAATACCAACCACACTGTGCCTTCAGGACAAGAACAGGTCCCTACTAAATATATAGCCCATGCCTTAAGGGCTGGAACAGGTCCCTTCTGCCCCATGCCTTCCGGGCTAAACTCGACCCCTACCACACCATGACCTCCGGGCTAAAACAGGTCCCTACTAGCCCATGCCGTCCGGGCTAAAATTGACCCCTACCACACCATGACCTCCGGGCTAGAACAGATCCCTAGTAGCCCATTTCCCCCGGGCTAGAACAGATCCCTACTAGCCCATTCCCCCCGGGCTAGAACAGATCCCTACTAGCCCATTCCCCCCGGGCTAGAACAGATCCCTACTAGCCCATTCCCCCCGGGCTAGAACAGATCCCTAGTAGCCCATGCCCCCCGGGCTAGAACAGATCCCTACTAGCCCATTCCCCCCGGGCTAGAACAGATCCCCCTACTAGCCCATCCCCCCTGGCTAGAACAGGATCCCTACTAGCCCATGCCCCCGGGCTAGAACAGATCCCTACTGATCCCCTACTGCTAGCACCATGACCCCCGGGCTAGAACAGATCCCTACTAGCCCATTCCCCGGGCTAGAACAGATCCCTACTAGCCCATTCCCCCCGGGCTAGAACAGATCCCTACTAGCCCATTCCCCGGGCTAGAACAGATCCCTACTAGCCCATTCCCCCGGGCTAGAACAGATCCCTACAGCCCATTCCCCTGGCTAGAACAGATCCCTACTAGCCCATTCCCCGGGCTAGAACAGGTCCCTACTAGCCCATTCCCCGGGCTAGAACAGATCCCTACTAGCCCATTCCCCCGGGCTAGAACAGGTCCCTACTAGCCCATTCCCCGGGTGGGCTAGACCAGGCTAGAACAGATCCCTACCATTCCCCGGGCTAGAACAGATCCCCAGGCTAGAACAGGGCTCAGGTCCCTACTAGCCCATTCCCCCGGGCTAGAACAGATCCCTACAGCCCATTCCCCCTGGGAACAGATCCCTAGCCCATTCCCCGGGCTAGAACAGATCCCTACTAGCCCATTCCCCCCGGGCTAGAACAGATCCCTACTAGCCCATTCCCCCGGCTAGAACAGGGCCCATTCCCCCGGGCAAGAACAGATCCCTAGCCAATTCCCCTAGCTAGAACATTCCCTATTAGCCCATTCCCCGGGCTAGAACAGATCCCTACTAGCCCATTCCCCTGGCTAGAACAGATCCCTAGCCCATTCCCCTGGCTAGAACAGATCTCCTAGCCATTCCCCGGGCTAGACCAGGTCCCTACTAGCCCATTCCCCCAGGGCTAGAACAGATCCCTACTAGCCAATTGAGCTCCCCCCGGGCTAGAACAGGTCCCTACTAGCCCATTCCCCCCGGGCTAGAACAGATCCCTACTAGCCCATTCCCCCGGGCTAGACCAGGTCCCTACTAGCCCATTCCCCGGGCTAGAACAGATCCCCTACTAGCCCATTCCCCGGGGCTATAACAGTTCCCTCCTAGCCCATTCCCCCCGGGCTAGAACAGATCCCTACTAGCCCATTCCCCCCGGGCTAGAACAGATCCCTACTAGCCCATTCCCCCCGGGCTAGAACAGATCCCTACTAGCCCATTCCCCGGGCTAGAACAGATCCCTACTAGCCCATTCCCCGGGCTAGAACAGATCCCTACTAGCCAATTCCCCGGGCTAGAACAGGTCCCTATTAGCCCATCCCCTGGCTAGAACAGATCCCTACTAGCCCATTCCCCCAGGCTAGAACAGATCCCTACTAGCCAATTCCCCAGGCTAGACCAGGTCCCTACTAGCTCATTCCCCCGGGCTAGAACAGATCCCTACTAGCCAATTCCCCGGGCTAGAACAGGTCCCTATTAGCCCATCCCCAGGCTAGAACAGATCCCTACTAGCCCATTCCCCGGGCTAGAACAGATCCCTACTAGCCAATTCCCCCGGGCTAGACCAGGTCCCTACTAGCTCATTCCCCCCGGGCTAGAACAGATCCCTACTAGCCAATTCCCCCCAGGCTAGACCAGGTCCCTACCAGCCCATTCTCCCCGGGCTAGAACAGATCCCTACTAGCCCATGCCTTCCGGGCTGGAACAGGTCTCTTCTAGCCCATTCCCCCCGGGCTAGAACAGGCCCCTACTAGCCCATGCCTTCCGGGCTCGAACAGGTCTCTTCTAGCCCATGCCTTCCGGGCGATTTCCAGTCTGGTCCCCAATGAATTCAGGGCTAAAGTAGATCCCTCCTATCCCAGGCTGGATTTGGTCCCTTCTAGCCTATACCTTCCTTGTTAGAATACAGTTGGAAATGTTGAGTTGCGGGGGAAAAAACTCAAACAAACAATTCTGTATCGACACAATATCTCGCCTTTCCCACCACTTACCATCTAACTAGGGAGGTAAATATAGACAGAAAAGGGCAAGACAAAGCAGGTACTTTTGTGGATCCCATTCTAATTAGTTACCATCTCTCAGTCAATAACAAGTATCGATGATGTACATAGTTCACATCACACAGATACGCATTCGTGGTCACCTGGTTCACAAGTGATGCAATGTAGATGACTTGACTAAACCTGTTTAAAGATTGATAATGACGATGAATAGCTTCTTAATATATTTACATGGCGCACCCTACAGTTTTTCTCTTTGTTATCACTTGTTTACTGAAGCTAATCCATCCCTACGCTGTTGCGAACGATCAGGATTGTTTGAATTTACCCCGGAAGAACTTTTCTTAGCTGTATATATGGGGAATGGAAATCTGAAATTGTTATTTCCGAAACTGACAGGATGACTCAGCAATACACTAAATGAAACCTAAAGACAAATACATATATATATATATGTTCTCCTTTTCATGTAGCTACAACAAATAGCTATCACAATTGTGCCACCAATGTTCGATTTAATTTGCAATGCCACTGATGGAACAGATATATTAAACATACTGCAAGTTTGACAAAAGTGACTGAATTCATCATTGATGTGAGAGATATAATGAGGTGAGGTCAGGTGAGGTGAAATTGGGTTTTACGCCGTGCTTGAGAATATTTCGCTCATATGTCGACGTGCATGCATGTATATGTGTATGTGCGGCTGCTTGTACTAGCCCAGACTGAAGCTGGTTTTATAGTGCTAGCCCACTGAGATACCATGCCGCAGTGAAGCATGAATACCCCACTCAGACACATTATACTGACTCCGAGCCGACCAGTCCTTGTTGTACCCATTAATGGCGAGCGCCATGCAGGGACCAACAAGTACCATATTTTAACTTCTTTTTGGTATGACGCGGTCGGGGATCGAACCCGCGACCTTCCGCTCTCCGGGCAGACGCTCTAACCACTACACCACGGAGGCGGTCAACAGAAATAATGCAACAACGGAGTATAAAAGTTTTACCAAAGTGGAAAAGGTCTGAGACCTTCATTGACTGGAATAATGATCGAAACCCATACCAATTTACCCACTCGCACCTTAATCTGTACATATTCACACAACGCATGGGGTGCACGTGCACAACGCAGAAGCCCCAATACGTGCATAGGGGGTGTAATTCTTGATTTTGACTTCTTTCAAGAAGGTCGATAAATCTAGACAATTCATTTTGACAATCACCATGCACCACACAGTTGTTTGTTTCTAGCCGGGTTTGCTATCTTTTGTTTTGCTCTGCTCTGTTTTGTTTTGGGATGTGTCTTATGATGTTGTTTTTGTTTGTTTTGTTGTTGTTGTTGTTGTTGTTGTTGTTGTTGTTGTTGTTGTTGTTGTTGTTGTTGTTTTGGTTTGGGTTTTGGTTTGTTTTTTTGTTGTTGTTGTTGGCGGGTTTTTTTTAGATTTTTCAAATAAAAATCTAACACATGCAAATTTCACGTCACACACCAATCATCTTTCCAGATCTATTACTAATACAAACAACTATGGTCATAAGGAAGTGCAAGTGGTGATGAACTCTCTAAACATTCATTATTATCATACGCAAATCGATTGGCTCCAATATATCTCCCAGTTTTTTCAATCGTAAATACAAAATGAAGATCCCCTACATTTTTAAAAGTATATATCATTGGGCTTATTGTTTGATTCCTTGTTGTACGCCTCCTTGCGTAGTATATCAGTTAAATCAGGACATCCAAGCTTACTGATTGTTCAGAAATTCAAGTAAACACGATTTGGAAACGCACAAAGATTTGAATGATTCAGACAAACTGATGATATTTGGACTTGAAACATCCACCACTGGATGGTGTCACGTCGGCAAATTTTTCCCGTGTTTCATGTTAGCAGGTAGAAACGTTTCCACCCACCCACGCCATGGTTACAAAATATTTCCTCTTTGCATTCTACACTGCACACCGCAGACAATTAAAAATACTAAACAAATTCCAATGTAAACAGACTAACATAAATATAGTATTGGAAGAAAGTAAATATGTTACATGTCCATTAGAAGTACGCGTGCAGTTCCCCGCGGAACTACGAAACACTATGTGCATACATTATACAATAAACTACATTAAAATTGTTTAATGGATTTTCAGATGCATCATTTCCTAGATTGTTCTTTGCCTAGAATCCAATGTCAAGAAGGCGGTGGCTCATGGCCCAATCTTGTAGGAGAACGAACTCTTTAGTTTTCTGCTGGAGTATATCATCGGAGTATCCTTGGTGCTGCAAGTTGGAGACGCACTTAGTTTTAGCATGGTATTAAGATGATTGTTGATTGATGTCGGTACTCTCTGGAAATGAAGGATCAAGATGCAATCTACGTTAACCGAACCGTAAAAACAATGGAACCCATAAACCAATATCTATCAGTTCTCCTGTTCATCTCCAAATGATCTAAAATATCTAATGGCAGGTTACTGTAACATCAGTGTCGACACCGACATTTCAAATCTGCTAATTATATAAGATGCTGCAAATGCATGACCATGATGTGTAAACACTTGCACACTGTCTGTTGTGCGTGCTAACTGTGGTGAGAAGACACATACAACAGAAGATTCTGACAGTATTTTTAAAACATGCACCAACTGACCAGGCGACGACCCATATTTCTTTAAAGAGGGTTCGACAGTAGATGGAGATTAACAAGATCAAATTCACCCAAAACATTAGTTTTACAGATGCCCCAAAACTTGTCCCAAGATCTGAACTTAACGAAACCTATGCTTCAATAGCCAGTAAACAGTCTGAGCAACCCCTAAAGTATTATGATCATCTGCAAGCTGTCAAACAAACTTGACATGGTGAAAATCGATTCTCTTCAGAGTGTGTTTCCAGGAATATCCATTCAAACTGCGAAGTCACTTCCTGGGACGTCCTTAATCCAATCATAGTCGCTATTTGTCGATCGATAAATTTAATGTTTCTTGCCGTTGCAAAAACATACATACTATTGAAAGGCGACTGCAATTATGTTCAATTAATTTTGATAATTATGTTTAAAAAAGAATTCAAATTTTCAAAACAAAAACTAATTGTGTCCACGGTTTGTGGAAAATACACACTTCATAACAACCCGGAACTAATTGTAATAGTTACTCCTATTAAAATTGTAAATGACGCAATTATTTTTTATCAATATTTTACCTTTCGGACACATATATTATATTTTGAGAATACATGCGTGAAGGCAGTTGATATATTAAAAATTGTTTCCACTTCAAAGACGGCCCTTCTCTAACTGTACAAAGGCCTAATCCGTCAGGGCCATCAATCACTTTGTAATTCCTTTCATGAGGAGGACCAGGCATTGTAACAATGATTTGAAGATGTGAAGAAAGGTTCATTACCGTTAAGATATATTTATAAGCTAAAAATGACACCACGCTGTCTTTCATTATTGTTATGTGCTGAATTCAGATACTCGAGAAACGTTTTAAGAGTAGGCCTACATGATGTATAATAACACGTAACGGTTCTTTTGAAACCTAATGCATTACACTTGGTGACACTCTCAAACATATGTTCTTCAGTCGTTCCTGAGACGATTTCAAGCAACTGGCTTCTTGTCTTTCTGCAAGCAGGCTGAATTAAGAGCTTATTATTTTTAGACTGGTTGTCAAAACAAGCTGGGAGCGGTATAACTCAAGAAAATTTGCAGAACTCCAGTTGAGTGTTGAGGAGAAAATGAGATCAACGTTTATTCAATCCGTCATGTCTCACATCTGCCTTTATATGATGATAAACATCACTCGTCAGGTAGGTGCCAAAACACTATCGAATACAAGACGGTATTGTGACATGTTTTGAAAACAGCATACAGGTTGAGAAAGGATCGGGAATCATTTGGGTTTTATCTGATTGACATGTATTACAATATATGATTTGAATGTGCCTCAATTATACTATTGTACCGTCTGATCTGAATGGAATGACCAAAAAAATGGAATGACCCTGCCCTGCGTTTTCTTACCTTCCTTTTTCAAGCTTAGCTATACTGTGTATATTCCAGTTTATCAATGTCTTGCTCCATTACCCTAATCTTCAGCTTACTTTCGTCCTTGCTACAGGACTTTTTTATCTCCGATCAGAGTTATTTTCCAAACCTGAATGTTGTTCTTACCTCCACCTTAAAACTGTTTCTGCGGGTACTCTAAACCTCAGCGCCCAATCTTCTCTGGCACAGTATTAGTCTGAAGCGAACTCATACCCTTCTGGGCCCGGTTTTTAAAAACTCGGTTATCTTTTAACCAGCCGTTAAGTACATTTAACCGACCGTTAACTAATAACAGAGGGTTATCTTGTTGTTCAAAACTCTGTTAACTTTAAACAGGTTGTTAACGTGACGTTAAGTTAACACACCTAAGGACCGCCGCTAACTTTTTAACAGTGTGATTAACTCGCAAATGGCGTTCATGGCCAACACTGCTTTCATGAGGCCAGTTCAGCAAAGAAAGGATAAGGTGTATCGTGGACTGGACGTCGATCCTGGAAATTATTCTGACGAAGAGTTACATACGAAACTGTAACTATGCACTTCATAGGAACTAAAATACATGTTTTACAAGAACATGATGCCTACGTTTCATCTTTTAACACTTTATATATGTTTTACTACACTAAATGTGTGAATTTCTGACTATCTGTGTATTGTTACATGTTTTTATCGTTTTCATTTTAAGAAAGAGAAGAAGCGGCCAGAAATGTTGATTATTACCGTTGTCGTTCTGCATGATTTTGCGTCAGTCATGGCGTCACGCTGCACAGAAACTTGACAGTTTCGTATAAACATATCACATTCCTGTATTGTATCTATTTTTAATTTCCTATTTCTTGCTACTATGCTCTTTCCATGCAAATGGGTGTCTGAAAATTTGAGAAAATGCTACACAGTATAAAGTCTGAAATTTTCTTTGTTTACATTTCGAACAGGTGTTAATGTCTTTCGAGCACAGCATTTGTTTCCACCCCCAATATCTTTCGTTTCAGTTTATCTAGACACTTGGTATTGGTGACAAAAACCAGTTGTAATTAGATTCTAAAATGTATGAGGAATTCAGTAGGGCTGGGACGAGTAGGAAAAAATGGAATCGAGTACCCGCATGTACTTACCCGAATCAGAATCGAGTACCCGGAAATGTAAGAAATACATTCGGGTCAACCTCTGAATATTCAATCACGATTTGACAGAGACTATTATAGAAATTTGAAAAAGTGGTAATAAGACATTAAAACTGACCTCAAGCTATTTAATTTACGTCTGTTTAACCAATATAGAGAGTAACACCATTACTTACGCTCCTTGTTATAACAACGAACGTTTCGTTCCTGCTGCTACTGTAACTTAACTACTCATATGCATAGATAAATTACAGTGATTAAAACTATGCTCCATTAATCGGACAATACCAATGATGTAAAAACCCGTGAATTTCCGGGTTAGAATACTGATCTTCAGTAACCCATGCTTGTCGTAAGAGGCGACTAACGGGATCGGGTGGTCAGACTCGCTGACTTGGTTGACACATGTCATCGTATCCACATCGATGCTCATGTTGTTTATCACTAGATTGTCTCGTCCAGACTTGATTATTTACAGACCGCCGCCATATAGCTGGAATATTGCTGAGTGCGGCGTAAAACTAAACTCACTCACTCACTCAATGATGTAAACGTGTGTTACGTCAAAAACGAAAAAGACAAGCTATTGTCTGCCCTTGTCATTACAGAGCTCTCTCCCTTTCCGGGTACCCGATTCCTAGAAATAGGACTCGATTCCAGCAGTACCCGACCCGGATTCGAGTACCGTAGTTTTAACTTATTTTATAACAATATCTGAATGCTAATGTTGTACACTGATGTATTTTATATAAGGAATACAATGGCACAATAGTATTTCTCTGCCGAATCGTCGCAGCGTTCTATAATACACTTATGAAATATGATACATGTTTTCCGACCTTGAAGTCATTAAAAAAAATTATGCATTTTCTGCAGTCACTTGTGAATTGAACTAAATGAAGGTTCATCTGGTTAATGAGTAGCGAGGAAAATATGTTCATCTATAAATTAGACGCAGCTTCATGTTTTTCAAGACATCTTTCCAGAATATGCGTCTGTGAAGGCGTTCAGATAATGACGATATTGCACAGTTTTATTCATGAGATTCCTGTCAACAGTAAGGTCGAATAATAGATCGATTTTATTCAGCAGTGTTGGCCCTGGGGCCTATAGTACAATTACAGTTTGATTACTTTCACGTGGTGCTAGTAACATATTAAGTTTCTATTGGCATTGAATGCATATTTCAGATAAAAAGCTAATGGTATTATTGTCACAACATCTATATTGTTTGATGTTAAAAGATTTGGCAATGTGTGTTCATACATTACAAGTTTTGACAGACTTGGCAAATAATTAATAAATGATATTGATAGCATCTTAATGACTTGGCCATACAGTCATGACAATTTAAGGAGTGAAAAGTGAGCGATAGGTCTTGTGGGAATTCAGGATTCATTAAGACTGTAGCCGTCTAAGCGTAACTCCTGTATGTAATAGTTGTAAATATTCTATCCACTGAAAACATGCTTCTACTATTAATATTACATGTGTTTTCATGGATTCATCATATTTTATGTAAAGCTGTGCTATAGTTTCTCATTAAAATGTCTTTTCTGTTGTCGGAATTGAAGTAAGTCCCACACAGAGCTGGAATCATATGTCTTTGAAATATATATGCAAACGTCTGGAACCTTGTGTTCCAATACAAGCGTTCGTAGCGCTACGACATTCGCATGCCTATGATAAACTATAGAGTTGGTCTCAACCATTGACTGGATTACATTCTCATCGTCAGCAGAGAAATTTCGACTTCTCCTTTTCCTTGGGGTGCAGGCGACATTTCGCGATTCCATTTTTGGTAATCCGGAAGTAAACAGAAAACGGAATTGTGAGATATATGAAAGCTAACCAGTGACGTTAACCACACTATTAAACTTTTACGGCGACGTTAGCTAACGGCATGACTAACCATGTTTTGAACAACGCATATTAAACGTTCGGTTACCTAACAGCCGGTTAAGGATTTAACCGGCCGTTAGGAGTTAACCGGCGGTTAAGATAACCGAGTATTGAACAACCGCGCGTCTGGTGGTTTGCCCGACTGAGCTACGTCCTCTCTGTTAACCTAAGTGCAAATTAAATAATGATCGTAATGATGTCGAGGTTCACTCTCGACGTCCATGACTTTGGAGGGGTGAGTTAGTGAGTTAAGATTTAAGATCGGCCATATCTCAGTTATACAGTGACGAGAAGAGTTAGGTTAACTATAAGAGTGAGTTAGTAAGTTAGTGTTACGCCACACCCAGCAATATCCCAGCTATTTGACGGCAGTCTGTCTGGTCCAGACACGATCATTTACAATCCAGTGATCAACAACATGAGCATCGATCTGAGCATTTGGGATACGATGACATGTGTCAACCAAGTCAGCGAGCCTGACTACCCGATCCCGTTAGTCACCTCTTACGACAAGCATAGGTTTCTGAAGACCAATTCTAACCCGGATATTCACGGGTTGTTAGCTATAAGAAGCATCTGTCACAAAGGACAGTAAAACATTTGCAAGTTGTCAAAAGTTGATTATAAAAACTAACTATTTCAAACATTTAAAGATTCTATCCAACACAAAGGTTAATTTTACATAAAATGCCATTACAATTCGACACCAGCCACCATCCATGACCTCTGAGACGTTCTAACAAAGGCATTAACGTCATAGAGCATGATCACTTTGGAAGTGGGTCGCTAATGATATATGATGGCAGCACTGTCCATTTTATTCATGACACAGTCTCAGGTGATTACTATCCATACAACAACATTGCCCTACCCGTGGTGTCATCTGCACACACATTGGGCAAGATGTCATCTTTCTGGATGACGATACAAGTCCATGGAAGTGTCACAGGTCAAAAGTATAGGACATAACTTCACCACTCCTGGTGCCATTTGTGCATCATCCACTTAGTTGAAACTATCTTCTATTTGATCATACTTTCTCTGTGAAGGTGATCATTGTTTGCAGACTGTGGCGCAAATATGCTTCCATAGTTAATCACAAACACTTATTAGTCAAGCTCGATCAATATATATTAACGGAGAAAAGTAACTGTGCATAACATAAAATTGCATAAAGTAAAGGTTATTTGAAAAGGTGTTAGGCAACAACGAACCCATTCGATATGATAGCTTACGTTTCAGCAAATGTGATCATTTGCCAATACCTTGTGGATCAGATTAAATATCTTGAGGATTTAATTTTCGCCTACGGAAATATCTAATAAACTTCATTTTTGTACATAAAACCACCAGTTACTGAAAAAAACCATGTATATAAGATCCCATTAATAATATTTAGCTGAAATTGTCCTTTCCTTCTCCAACTTATTTCTCTGTCCTTCTCCGTGACCAACTATTGTCCTTTCACCAACTTATTTCTCTGTCCTTCTCCGTGACCAACTATTGTCCTTTCACCAACTTATTTCTCTGTCCTTCTCCGTGACCAACTATTGTCCTTTCACCAACTTATTTCTCTGTCCTTCTCCGTGACCAACTATTGTCCTTATTTTTTGTAATTTCCAACTACTTTATTTCTCTGTCCTTCTTCTCCTTTCACCAACCCTATTTCTCTCTGTCCTTCTCCGTAACAATAATTGTAATTTTATTTCTCTATTTCTCTTCTTCTCCGTGATCAACTATTGTAATATCTCCAACATATTTCGCTGTCCTTCTCCGTGACCAACTATTGTCCTTTCACCAACTTATTTCTCTGTCCTTCTCCGTGACCAACTATTGTCATTCCCCAACAATCCTGTGTTTTCCTGGGACAACTTCTGTTCTTAGGTTTCTGTCATTGACGGAAGTGAACCATTGTTCATGTCCCAACAAACGCCTCTGTCCTTGTTTGCTGAAACTGTTTCCTTTCCCGACAAGTTGAAAAATAGTGTGACGTCCTCTGATTACACCATTCATTCACCGGGGTTATTGTGGAATGTGTATTAAGTTAATGATATTGTTTGTGATATAATCGGAGTCGCATAACGGACTCCAATGACTTTGGAAATGGTGGGGTTGCTTTAATTTAAGTCACATGTCAGTTAAATACACCCCTCTACCTAAACTGTGGGCATTATTTATACATAGATACATGCCAGGTTTTATATATACACACGCACACGCACACGCACACGCACGCACGCACGCACGCACACACACACACACACACACACACACACATACGTAAGGTTACACTGCTTCCAGGTTGAACAATGGATGTGTTTTGTGAATCGATAATTTGTATTGAATATGCTAGGCCTTATCGGGTCTATTGTTAACATATACTCAAGGCTAACATCTACTAACATGTGGACTTCAAATTTATGTTGATATTTGACTGATTGAATTTTATGCCGCTTTGAACAAAGTTGAAGTAACAGCACGTCGTGTCGGCACAAAGTGGAAAGCAAGCTTGAAGTGATGCAGGTCTAAAGAGTTTAGCTCTTTGGTGAAAACCACGAGCACGTGTATGATGCTGACAGTTTTCAAACCATAATGGTGGCAAAACGGGTTTCGAACCGTTCGAACAATCATTAGGTTTCCTGTCCAAGAAACGCAACTCCGCACATCGACTTGCGGACCGTGATGCCCCTACGTATTTAATCATGTGCGCGCATGCGTGCGTACGTGCGTGTGTGTGAGCGTGATATGATGATTTTTGTGAAGAAGAATGTTCAATGTGAATGGACCCCTAAAATGTATGTACGAAGTTAGAACCCCCCACCCCCATCCCCATGTCATGTAGAGAATCGTTGACCACCCCTCACCCCCCACCTCCCCAGAACAAAATGGGTGACCCCCCTTAAAACCTTCATGACCCCTCGAGCCATAAATTATCAACGGTCCCTTAACATTAATTCATTCTATTTTCCAAGGAGGGCTGTGGCGAGAAGAGAACCGGAACATATGGTTCAGTTACCTCCCCTTATTACCCGAACCAGTACACAGACTTTCTTAACTGCACCTACATCATCGACGCTGGAACTACGTTGATCCGCCTTGTGTTCGTGGATATTGAGCTTGAGCTTGATTATGACGTAATAAAGGTAAGGACACTAAAACTTTCTGACCCAGATACCACACAGAAGGATAGACAAGGACATGGCAACACACTTTAAGCTGTCCGCTTGTATTACCAGTGTTAGCTATTTTAGAGATTGGTGTTCCAAAAGCATGAAAGTGGAATTATATTGGTTGTAAATGTGAAGAATTTTTAGCACATATAACGGGTTTTAAAATAGACTCCGTGCGTCCGTCCGTGCACATTCGTCTTTTTCGGAGCAGAACCGTTCAATATTTCTTCACCAAACTTGGCACATAGACAGATCTGGTTGTGTAATGGTGCCTTTCGGTAGTTTTGGATTTCTGAATAAAAAATTGTTTGCGTTTACATGGCAACAAGTTTGATTTCGACTGAAATTGGTGTTGGTCTTCTTTAAAAGCGCACAGTGTTTCTCCACCTAACTTGGCACATAGATAGGTCTGGTAGTGAACTGGTGTCTTTTGTAGTTTTGGATTTCTGCATAAAATATTGTTTGCGTTTCCATGGCAAGTTTGGCTTCGACTGAATTAGGTGGTAGGCTCCTTTCTGGAGCAGAACTTCAAAACCTTTCTGTACTCTCCTTCCACTTTGCTATATACACGCCAAAACATATGACATAGTCATAACTAGTAGAAATATGCATGAAGAGTATTTTGACAATGCGGGGGATATTGATGACTTTGTCTTCGTGTTATTATTTGTCCAACACCTGCAATTATTTGATTGGTATCTAGCTTACCAGAATCAGAACCACGTGCTTTTGTTTGTTATTTGTTTTGTTATTGTTTTACGCTGCACTCACAAATATTACAGCTCAGTGACGGGGGTCTGCAAATAATGGAGTCTGGACCAGACAATCCAGTGACTGACATCTTTAGCATCGATCAACGGACTAGGGATACGATGACATGCATCATCCACTCAGATGAAAGTATCTTCTATTTTGATCATACTTTCTCTGTGGAAGTTATCATTGTTTGCAGACTTTGGCACAAACATGCTTCCATTATTTATCACAAACAGTTGTAAATTAATCAAACCTGATCAATATATACTAACGGAAAAAAGTAACTGTGCATAAAATAAAGGTTATTTGAAAAGTTGTAAAAATAACCCCAAATAAATATGTAGGAAAGCACTTTGCATGAAATTTGATGTCACGTATCGCGTGACACGTGCATAATGAACTTACTCACTTTTTGCATGCTTTTTGACACCCGAAGTTCACACACCTGATATTGAAAATTGAAAAACCTTTGATTATTCTCTTGCCTCTGAACGTTGTGGAAAAACTAATTAAATTTCAACCTAAACTGTGCGTACGTCATGCCATGGCTTACAGAAAATCATCGTGGATATGCTGGAGGCTGGAATGGCCCAAAATGAAGTGGCCAGACATTTTGGTGTCCATCGAAACAGGATCATATTTTCCAAATAATGGGAACACGAGAGATTTGCCCCGGGCCGGCCGTCCACGTCAGCAAGACAACCACATTCGCTTGACCCATCTAAGCAATTGATTCCAGACTGCCAGTTTGACTGCTCGAACCATTCATGGCTTACGTCAAGGGTGCCGTTGTACAAAACAACCTTAGCGCTAAGGTGACATTAAGTCTATGTTAAGATATAGGAGTCACGGTCACCGTATCGCTAAGTTCGCTTTGTACAACGGCACGCTGGACTATACGGAACCGACAGAGGGAGCACAACATCCGGCGCCGACGGCCTGCAATACATCAAATTTTAACGTCACCGACAGGCACGTCTTGACTGGTGCAGGCAGCATCTACGGTACAGGAAATAAGATTGGGATGGTGTTTTGTTCACTGAGATGTTCACGAGATTTCATCTGGACAGCACAGATGGCAGGGTAAGGGTGTACAGACGGCGAGGTGAACGGTATTCTGACGCGTGCGTTGTTCAACTTCGAAAGTTTGGTTGCGAAAGTGTTATGGTCTGGTAAGGTATCACATCTCATTGCCGGATACAACTCGTCATTGTCAATGCCAATCTGACAGGTATGCGATACAGGGATGAGATCATTGCAGTCGTTCATTCAAGGACAGAGACGTTCACGCTTCAGCAATATAGTGCCCGTCCACGTGTCGCTATCGTTGTGACAGATTTCCTGAGACAGCAGAACATTCTGGTACTCTACTGGCCAGCTGTTTCTCCGGATCTGTCACCTGTCGAGCACGTTTGGGATTAAACGGGGAGACATTTACGTCAAGCCCAGAGTCAGCCTTTTACGTTAGCTGAATTGGGACAAGCGTTGGTTCAGACATGGAACAACATTCTCCAAGCGTTCTTCACTCGCTTAGTGTCGTCTATGCGTCGTCGTTGTTAAGCCTCAAACCGATACATGGACCAATTCAGACAATGACCTACTTCACAGACGATCCGAATTTTCTCGTGTGAAAGTGAAAAGACACACAACAAACAACTCTGGTTACACGAAATTCCACTTCCTTGTTTCAAAAGGATATGGTATTTACAAATGAATTATAATTTTAAACTTCGTACATAAAAATCAGATTTCTATATTTTAGGTTTAGGCAGCATGTCGTTAACTAAGACGACACTGACTGTCCCTGTTAGAAGAGTCGTCCAATGATTCACAATTCATCTGGCTCACTGGTTACACCTGTTATGTGTTCTTTGCGCTTATTAAGTGTATTTTTGTAGCGTATTTTATGTATATTTTGAAACATCTTGTAGGCTTTATGAGTCAATGTAATATAGCGAAATTGCACACTGGGAATGCAGACTTATCCGTCTTTGGCACCAACTCGAGGAAAGTCAGTTTGAGTGTCACATGGAGACGTGTGGTGGCGCTGAAGTCAATACCTCGTGTGACCACCGTGGGCATCCAGAACTGCACGGCACCACCTCGGCATCGAACGAATAAGTCTCAGAATCTCGTGTTGCCCAATCGCAGCCCACTCTGCCTGTAGTGCCTGTGCGAGTTGCTGAAGTGTCTGGGGCTGAGGGTTACGGCGTCGCACCCGTCTGTCCAGGGCATCCCACAGATGTTCGATCGGGTTTAAGTCCGGTGATCTTGAGGGAGCACATTGATGTTGTGGTTCTGGAGGAAGTCTCTAGTGTGACGTGCTGTGTGGGCCCTGGCATTGTCCTGTTGTTACAACTCCCTCTGGCGATCAATGATTGGAAGGAGGTGTGGGCGTAGGATTTCGTCACAGTACCGTTGAGCTGTCAGGTTGCCCTGGATCATCACCAAATCACTTCTCCTACGGCAGGTGATCTCTCCCCACATCATAACACTTCCCCGGCCGAATCTGTCCACTGGGGAACGCAAGCGTCGGCGAAAAGTTCACGTCGACGTCTGTACACCCGCATTCTTCCATTGCGTCGTTCCAATAGAAATCGTGATTTATCACTCAACCAGATTCTACGCCAATTCGGTAGGTTCCAGGCCTGAACGTTGGTGCACCATTGAACTCGATGTCAACGATGTTGTTGTCGAAGCACAGGGCCAAAATAAGGTCTTCTGGCACGTAAACCAGCCTCTCTCAACCTGTTCCTGACGGTCTGTGCAGAAAGCCTCCTCAATCCGGGTATTTGTCGAGCGGCACTGGTCGCCGTAGCTGTTCGATGACGCAGGGGATGTACCCGGATGTAGCGATCCTGCGCCGCAGTGGTCGCTCGAGGTCGCCCACAACGAGGGGCATCTGCTACCGCATTCTGCCGGCGATATCTCTCCCAGAGCCGTGAAATGGTGCTTTGGTGAACATGCATGCACTTTGAGACTGGCGATATGACGGTTGGCTTCACTTAGACGTGGCATTTTGCGTTCGTCAACAATATCCCAAATACAGTGAATAATCGACAGACAGCGATCAACCTTTTATACCCATCATTGAAACTATCTGATCCCCAACTTTCACGTGCATTACATGTGAATTGTGTATTCTGTGACACTACACGCAGAAATTGAAAATCATGCTGTTAAATACGGGTATTTTACGGATGGTGCGTTTTGTTGTGATGTTTCAAAACATAAACACCATAGGACTCATAAACAGAGCAAAACCTTTTGTAAAATGAATCACGTTTTAATTCATTGCTACATGAAATTGCTATTTTCATGATGCGTTTCTTTTTGGGAGAGTATATATGACCAAAGCTAATGACTGCAGGGGTATAGAGAAGCTGCGTATGTGCGTAAATTACGCAAATATTTATGTGAAAACTCAATTCCTATTAAGTCTATTTCGTACAAGTACGCTTGAATTTTTGTAAATAATCAATAAATTTCATCTTACATGCGTGCATACAAAAATGTCAAATTAGCTTGCGTACCGGTGAATTAGTTCCTGTCACCAAACCTACTAGAATTTGGAGTAAACAGACCCATGTGCTATAGATGGAGGTTACTGGGGATAGATAAAATAACTGAGGTATACTGAGAGGTTCTATTTCAGCACATGAACTTGGCAACGTGCAGTCTTTCTTATTGTTTCTCGTATTATAGATCAAATATAAATAACAAACACGTAAACGAACATTTAAATTTTATTGTACTTTTACAATCACATGTAATTAAAAATGAGTGAGGTGGGTATAATTTATTTGGTTAGTCAAAAGAAAATTACGATACCCAATTGAGATGAACACACGCAAGTACATAACTCAAAGACCGTAAAATGCATATGTATCTGTTGCTCTGTTAATGCTGTTCAATATATATGCCCCAGCCTACACTTGTGGTGTACCAGTATCCGTTTGTAGGTGTTCAACGCCGCTGGCAGTCCCATTGTGACTCTGACAGGTCAGGAGTCTTGGTACGTCATGAGGCCTTCCAACTACTACCGCCTGAAGTTCACCAGCGATATGTCTATCCGTTTCCGGGGATTCAACGCCACATGGACCAGTAAGTTGTAAACTCCAAATAAAGTAAGGGACTAGCAATATACCCGCAAATCACGGCTTGGGACACCAGGAATGGGCTTCACACATTGTAACCATATGCATGTGGGAAATCGAGCCTGGGACTTCGGACTGACGAGCGGACAAGCTACCCCACCGCCCCTCAAATGAAGTTGAAAGGGCGAGTGTACACGTAAACAGTGAGTGAATGAGTTTAGTTTTACTTCGCACTCAGCAATATTCCAGCTATATGGCGGCGGTCTGTAAATAATCGAATCTGGACCAGACAATCCAGTGATCAACAGCATGAGCATCGACCTGCGCAATTGGGAACAGATGACATGTGTCAACCAAGTCAGTGAGCCTGACCAGCCGATCCCGTTAGTCGCCTCTTACGACAAGCATAGTCGCCTTTTGTGGCAAGCATTTGAGGGGCGGTGGTGTAGCTTGTCCGCTCGTCAGTCCGAAGTCCCAGGCTCGCTTTCCCACATGGGTACAATGGGGTGGACTTGGAAGTGGAATATATGTAGTATTTCGTTTTGTAACTCGGGTTTCGGGTTTCTAATGAAATGAATGAGTGTTTTTCACTATTATATCAGAAATATTCCAGCAACCTCACGAAGGGGAGAAAATGGGTTTTGCACACTGTACGCGTACGAGCAGTAGAATATGACCTTCCATGTGACGAGAGAACGATTTAACCAGTAAGCAACCCCGGGGTTCTTGCAGTTCCGATTCTCTGATTACCACAGCGCGTAGTATGTATGTAGCAACTGAAACAATGTATTCGGCATGAAACTTGATCTTGTTTCATCTTTCTAGTGTATGAATCTTGTACATTTGTATTTGTACTTTTGTATTTATATTTCGCATGTCTGTATAAATACTTTGATTTTCAGTTGCTGCTGTCTCTGTCAAAGAAAGCCTTCATGGCGCCTGTGGGTACAACGAGACGTCAGTGCGCATGTCATCATCCGGGCTCACACTGGGTCACCTGGGGACGCTCACCTCAGACACCATATCTGAGTGTATGTACGTCTGCAGGATTGACGTCTTTTGTGCAGCTTTCTATTTTGTTGACAAGAATTGCTCTTTGTTTCTTAATTTCAAGGGTGATAACATCCCCGCAAACATTTTAAAGCTGATGTAGATGTGGACCTTGCTCTTGGGACTGTTCAGGGGAAGAAAGCATATATTTGTATTTATTGCTACAATCTCCAATCATTTGACTCAAGAACTTTTTCATATGCAGCAGCTTTTCTGTGGAACTCTCTCCCTATCGAGTTAAAATCATCTCCTTCCCTAAGTACATTCAAAACACGACTAAAGACTCATCTATTTCTCCGCTACAAGTGACTTCCAATCATCCGTACCTGCCCACTGTATATAGTTGTAACTTGAGCGGAGGAAGCGCTTTGAGCATATCCCTGTGACGTGGAAAGGCGCTATCTAAATGGCCTATTATTATTATTGTATTTTTCACCTTACAAGGAGTGGGTGAGTGAGTAAATATGGTTTTACGCTACTTTTAGCAAAATTCCAGCAATATAACGGCGGGGCACACCTGAAATGGGCTTCACACATTGTACCCATCTGGGGAATCGAACCCGGGCCCTCGGCGTGACGAGCGAACGCTTTAACCACTAGGCTACCCACCGCCCTCCCCTCACAAGGACCAAGGGCTAGTTTACAACATCACGGTTGAATGTGATGTCCTTGGTGGCATAGTGCTGATGTTGATATTTTTGTATCTTATTCAAATTTCTTCTTTTACTTTTTTTACACGTTCTCTGTGGTTCAAAATGGATGTTGGCCTTTGCTTTGTTTTAGGAATGTCACTTGTAGTTTACAGAAAATAAAGTGCTTTGCACAATATATTATATATATACTGTGTGTCGCGTGCAGTATATGCCTGGCGGTCTCGGTTGTAGGCAGTTGCAAACATTTACTCTGCTGTAGACAAACAATTCATAGGTGGTGTAAGGAGATCACTGGTCAAGCCTGCATTGGTCAGCTGTTCGGCCGATTTCTAGTGAGTGAGTGAATTTAGTTTTACGCCGCTTTTAGCAATATTCCAGCAATAGTGGTGTAAAGCGGCTTCACACAATGTACCCATGTTGGGAATCGAACCCGGGTCTTCGACGTGACGAGCGAACGCTTTAACTACTAAGCTACCCCACCGCCCAGTGAGTGGAAACGAGAAGCCAGACAACCCCTTCGAAATCTTGAATTTCATCTTCTTGCTGTATCATTATGAGGCCAACGGTAAGGTCTTCCTGACGACCGAGACACATGTGAATTGTGGAGGTGGTTCTACGTGGTCTGTGCCTATTACCTTATCAGGACGATGGTCAACACTGTTAGATTGCATATACCTGTAACCAGCAGACTTTGCTACTGATGCTACTGGGTCCTTTGCTACTGATATTGGGGGCATGTATACTGAGTGAGTGAGTGAGTGAGTTTAGCTTTACACCGCTCTCACCGATACCAGTGACCCGTGAATATCCGGGTTAGAATTGATCTTCAGCAACCCATGCTTGTCGTAAGAGCTGACTAACGGTATCGGGTGATCAGGCTCGCTGACTTGGTTGACACATGTCATCGTATCCCAACTGCGTAAGTCTATGCTCATGATGATCACTGGATTGTCTGGTTCAGACTTGATTATTTACAGACCGCTGCCATATAGCTGGAATATTGCTGAGTGCGGCGTTAAACAACAACCAACAAAAGAACTTAACATTAGTGATGTCATAATAATACGTTGCGGACATGCAGACTGTTACCTGTGTTATGAGCATGTAAGGATCAGGGCCCCGTTCCTCAAAGCGATCGTAGCGCTACGACAGTCGTATATCTATGTTAAAGTATGGGAGTTACGACTGTCGTAGCGCTACGATCGCTTTGAGGAACAGGGCCCAGGGCTAGAATTGGTCTTCGGCAACCCATGCATGTTGTAAGAGGCAGCTAACCGGATCGGGTGGTCAGGCTCGCTGACTTGGTTGATACATGTCATCGTATACGAACTGCGAAATTAAGGTCATCTTGAGTCCACAACAACCAAAATTATGGTTAATTTTAGCTTGACCTCATCATAGTCGTAATTGTACATCATCATTGCCCTTTCTCTGAGACACTGCGACCACACAAAACACGAAACACTTCATCGTTCGCTGCGACTAGAAACTTTGAAAAAAAACAGTGACACAGTTCTTTGAAAGAAATATTTTTTTCATTCACCACACCTTCAACTACTCGGAAGGTTTGACACCGAGTCACTTAACTCCTCATGAACAACCAGGGCAATGTCTGAAACAGACTGACTGAGTTTGGATTTACGCCGCTTTTAGCAATATTCCAGCAACATCACGGCGGGGGACACCAGAAATGGGCTTCACAAATTGTACCCATATGGGGATTCGGGGATCTTCGAAACTACCCACCGCCCCGTCTGAAACGGAACCGTCACAGCGTTGTATTTCATACTGTGTGTTTGTTGTGTCAAATTAATATCGACCAAGGACGTACTTACGTCTTTGATATGGACGAAGCAATTGATCACACAGTACACAACCCTGTGCACTTAAAACAACCCACGAATCCGTTGGTAAATGACCAGATGGTGGCCACATGAATACGTGAAAACACCTAGATGCGGGTACAGCAACGTGCAGTAAACTTGGACAAAGTACTGTGACTGTCTCAGTCCTCCTAGCTGTGAATGGCTACCTCGTAAGCATGGGAAAGCCGCTTGGTGCGCCTAGTGGCTGCAAGAGTTGTATAATCCCCAGGGAGTTGAGATTGATAATATGGTGTGCCGTTGAGATTGACATCCAATGATCGAGGGAAAAAACAGCTCCTTGAGCATGTACTAGTGCGTGGATATGTGCTCTATATAAATAATATCCTATGATGATAAACACGCAGTAAAACGTGCACAACAACAAAGAGAGTTTGCAGTTAGGCCCAACACATATGTTCCATTTTCGGGATATTATAAATTTAGACATTTTACTTATTCAAAAGTGCATTTCCTTCAACTCTCAATCACATCAGAAATCAATGGAACCACAGTTCGTTATAAGCGTATTCGATTTATACGTAGTTTATTGTATATTACAATCGCTCGTCTAAGAAAGATGCAAAATAGCTGCAAGAGACAGAAACGATCGACAATGCAGCCAGTCGCAAAGAACCGCCTGTTCAACTGGAAAAACATGTAAATGTATCTTGTGTTGAAATTCAGTCGAAATATAACACTGGCAGAATAATATCATAATACTGAATGCCAAGAAACAAAAAGGAAACAAGGACAAAGAAAAGAAATCCATTTTTGAAAATTAATCTTTATAGACGACGGGACAGGCTATTTTCTTAGGAGCAGTTTAAATACATACTGCTCATATTGATGCAATTTGAATCGTTCAATATCCATTGTATCACTATTGGCATTTTTGTGAAACACTGGCAGTATATGTTGAAGCAGACTTTTCTGGAAACCCTTCAGATGTGCTCTCACTGCCTGGTGGAAATGGATAAAATTGAATTGATATCGATTAAGAAATTGGCAACATTAAATAGTTAAAATGCCTAAAACAAACAAAGAGCTTGAAGTGTGGCCCAACACACATGTTCCGTTTTTTTCGCAATATTTTCAATAGGGAAATTTAAATTTAAAAATAAACTTAGGTAACTTACCCGGAAGTTTGGCGGTGAGACAAAGACGTGTGCTCTCCTTGCGGATCTGTTTCTTGATGCATATGGATCGGACATTCTTTTGCTCGGGTAGGTAAGATGCAAACAAGGTAACTTGGACGTTTAGCTTAAAGGTCACATGCAACGTAAAACACAACTTTGCAGATTCTGATACCTTTCGGTGTGGACATACCGAAACAAATCGTCAAAAATGCAAATTCAACTTATAAAGTTGAAAAATAACGCGATGAAAAAAACCGCGCGAAATCGGAGTTCAAACGTTTCACTAATTTTCCCCAGACTTTTCTGGGGAAAACGGGTTTCAACAGCTGGGCTGCGCTCATAGCACGTGCGCAAGTAAATAGGTTCGCGCAGCTTGGAAGCGGGTTGTCGGGTGAATACTCGGTGAAGGCTTTGGTGTGAGCTATTTTTCTAATGTTTTGTTGATATCTCACAGGCGCGAGCTTTTTATATGTTATGACAGTAAATTAACTGTTTATATAATTTCATTTGTCTATTTCACCACACGTTCTTCTTACCGAGTCACTTTCTCAGTTCGATACTTAAAAGCAATGTCATTATTTAGCGTTGACAGAATTTCTAACTGTGAAATAGATATGTCGTTGTCACAGACAAAACTCAATGTCTTGTTTTATTGACACCTGTGTGTCTGCCTGCCTGTCTGCTAATGACAATATTCAATACACAGCTGCTATCACTGACCACATGCAATTCGAACTTAACACCAATCAGGCTATACACCATAAACAAAACGCATTGTTTATGGCCCGAGTTCGGTCTCTGTCACATTATGTAATTACACAGACAGGCAGGTGTGATACTTGAACACATGACATGTTATGATGTCTGTTGACTGCAAAATGTTATACACAAAAAATGAGCATGTATTTACAAAACCCAACATCTCTATATATACACACACAATGAGCCGTGAAGGCGGCATCTGCTAATGAACCAACCGTTACACTTGAGTGCACACCCACCCGCTCTGACTGGGTTCGGTATCCCGGCTGCTTCGTTTCGAGGGAGGTAAACCCAAGTACAAAATATTGCACTTTTGATTTGCGATTATACGCTTATAATTTTGTTTATTTGTTTTTTCATAATCAGCAATGCATATCATATGTCATGAAGAAGTGATAATTGTGTTTTAATTATGTTTGATTTTTTGGTTGCATGTGACCTTTAAGCTTCAGGTATATCTATGATCTAATATAACTACTCGTTAGGTTTGCTCTCTGCAGTGGGTCATATCAATACAGGTGGAACACTGAATTATATATACTACTCTTCTATTACCCTGACTCAGAATTTGTACTGTCACACAATATTTGTAATTTACTACCATAGTGATGTTATAAACCAGAGGTTATGAATGTACCTAGAGTCACAGAACCTGCTTGTTGATGAACAAAACGGATTTTGAAAAGGACGGTCTTGCCTTGACCATGTTTACAGTTTATATAGCATTGTTAATAACAGAGAAAATATGAAAACATCTAAATTCGCTTGTTTTATTAATTTTAAGAAGGCATTCAGGGAT